CACCAGGGAAGCCCCTGATCAATTTTATTTTGTTTGTTTTGGGGTTTTTCTTATTAATATGTTCAAATAAAACTTCTAAAAACCAATTCTCACTCAAAATATAGCTGTTTATGTAACAAACTCAACGGGGGATACATGAGGTGTGGAAGACAGGAATAGTGCAAGAAACAGAAAAAGAAATGAAAATGAGATAAAGAAAATGTAGTGTGTATATACAATGGAATATTATTCTGCCATAAAAAAGAATGAAATCTTGCCATTTGTAACAACATAGATGGAACTTGAGGGCATTATGCTAAGTAAAGTAAGTCAGAAAGAGAAAGACAAATACCATATGATCTCACTTATATGTGCAATCTAAAAAAACGAAAAATCTCCCAAGCTCATAGATACAGAGAACAGATCAGTGGTTGCCAGAGGCAGTGGTGGGGGGAGGGGGTGGAGAGGGGGCGAAATGGGTGAAGGGAGTCGAAAGGTACAAACTACCAGTTATAAAATAAGTCATGTAATGTACAGCATGGCAACTATAGTTAATAATGCTGTATTGCATATTTCAAAGTTGCTGAGAGTAGATTTTAAAGTTCTCATCACAAGAAAAAAAATTTTGTAACTATGTATGGTGATGGATGTTTAAACTAGACTTATTGTGGTGATCATTTCATAATATATACAAATGGTGAATCACTCTACTGTATATCCAAAACTAATATAAGGGTATACATGAGTTTTACCTCAATAGAATGAAAGGAAGGAAGGAAGGAAGGAAGGAAGGAAGGAAGGAAGGAAGGAAGGAAGGAAGGAAGAGGGAAGGAGGGAGGGAGGGAGGGAGGGAGGGAGGGAAGAAGAAAAAATACACCATAATTTTGGTTAAAAAAAACTGAAAATGAATGATGTGAAAATGATTCAACATGATTAATTCTAACTAGTTATATTTTCAGTTTCAAGTCAATATGATTATGACAGGGCAGACTAACTTTCAGCTGATCTGTGTCAAAGGTATTTTTCAGCTTTTTCTTTAATAAATTTGAAGATATTTCAATAAATAACAAAAATTCCAATAAATACATTTGAAACTTAAATGAGATCTATAAGCAGTAGATATTTTTTAAATTAATTTTTAGGTTAAGTCCTTTCTCCTAAAAACTACTCAGGAAGTATCTATATAAAGATATACAAGAAAAAATAAAACGAACTCCTAAAACTTTTTCTATGTCCCTGTGAAAAAGAATTTTCATAAATATAAGTGGAGGAAGAAAATACATTAATACTGCTCTTAGTTTTTTAATAGACAGAGAAATAGCAGTAATAAATGTCTCCTCCTTCAGAGGAGAAAAGGGACATAATTCTAGTCAATGCAGCTGTATCATTCACTTTGCAAAGTTATCTTAAAACACTAGTTTAGGGTTTGGGATAAGATGGCAGAAACTCAACTCTCCCCATTCCTCCCCACTAAGTATAACTAAAAAATCTGGAAATAATACAGTAGAATATCACAGGAGGGCACTGAAGAGTGAAAAGATGAAGGCAGACTAGCTAGGGACTCCCAGGACTTGAGGAAAAATATAACAGCTTGGTGTCTCCTGACTCCTGGGCCAAAAGGCAAAGGTAGCCCAAGCCCAGTGGTCTCCTGAACCCCAACCTAGCAACAGAAGGTGATTCAGGTGGGCCCTTTCCTCCCTTGGTGATGCTGGTGGGAACCCTACCAGTAGCATGTGGTCTGGAGAGCTGGCTTAGGGCAGCGGGCCTAGAGAAGTGCTCTCCAACCCCTTGGTCCAGCAGTGGGTCCCAATGGTGTCAGGTGAACCAAGCAGATCCGAATAATAATACAAAGACTCTGAAAACTAAATTGTCATTAGAACCATAGTCCACAGAAGTAGACCAGGACCTTTGCACCTAAACACAATGACTGACTGCTAAAATAGAGTATTTAAATAGGATCCAGAGTATCCTAACATAATGTCCAAAATGTCCAGGAGACAAATGAAAATTCTCTGTCATACAAAAAACCAGGAAAATCACAACTTGAATGTGAAAAGACAATCAACAGATGCCAACACCAGGATGAATCAGATATTGGAATTACCTGACAAGGATTTTAAAGCAGCCATTACCAAATTGTTTCAATGAGCAATTACAAATACTTTTGAAGCAAATGAAAAGCCAGAAAATCTCATAATAATAGAAGATATTAAGAAAGAAACAAATGGAAATTATAGAAAGAGTACAATCATAGAAATAAAAAATGCACTGAGTGGGCACAATAGCAGAATGAATAGGACAAAGGAAAGAATCAGTGAACCTGAAGACAGAACAAGAGAAATTAACCCAATCTGAACAAGATAGAGAAAAATATTAGTTTACAACTACCAAATGACAATATAATCATATATCTGGTTGTAATTTATTTCTTTAGATTAGCTGGAACTTTAAATTACATTATTTCTTATTTCCTTTTTAAATTCTTATAACATTTTCCTAAGAACAGAATATGATGGGAATTCCCTGGCAGACCAGTGGTTAGGACTCTGTACTCTCACTGCCAAGGGCATGGGTTCAATCCCTGGTCAGGGAACTAAGATCCCACAAGCCACGGTGGTGCAGCCAAAAAGAAAACCACCCCAGAATATTATAATAATGTGAACAAGAAAATGGTCAATAATTTCATAGTCCATATGATATTTATTAACATAAAAAGTAAAAATAATATCTACTATTTTTATTGAACATACACACAAATACTAGAACACTGAAACTTCTTCAGTCAGGACACACTAAGCACCTAATGAATGCAGTACTTCAGCATACCCTCATCGCTTTCATGGTATTAATTTGAAGATACTCACCTTCGAACTAAATCCGGTTTTAGAAGAGTTGCTGTTTGTTCAGCTCCAACTGCTTGGGATACAGGCTGTAAATAGCACAGAAATAAAACTTATTATGATAACAGCAAAACTTTAAGCTGAAGGTGCAATTTGCTATTATTGCAGAAAATGTGTTTGTTACATTTCATACTTTGGTTACCACACAAACCAGGTAAAATGTCTACATTACTGAATGTCTATATCAATCCTATTATTGATGTTACTACCAAACATAAAGAAAAATAAAATGTAGCAGTATTGATATTCATCAAGACTTTTTCATTTAAAAAGACAGCATTTATTTTATACTTTTGTTTGTGTTATTTTTCAATGGCTTCCAGTCCTGACTGTAAAACTACTAATAAAAGGAAGAGTTGCTACCATTCCAGAAACAGATAAATCAATGATTCAAGTTTTAACGTATTGTATGGTCTCTCTCTCTTGTTCCCTTTTCACTAAACTACTGCCAACAATTCCTTTGAGATGTTAGTATCCAGCAGCTGCAATACTGGCATCTAGGAGAAAAGTTTATAAAGGCAAATGCCAACGCTGCTGGAAAATAATGTTAAACATTTATCTAATCCATCCTATGCATTGCCGCTGGTGACAGTACAGTGACTTTAAAATGCAAATCTACCAAGATCAATCACTTACCTACCTAGTTTAAACCCTCTATGATGGCCCCTCATCTTCTATAAGGTTAAGTTCCTTTGGATGGCAAATAAAGTCCTCAATGAACTGGTCCCTGCCTCATTCTCTAGCTCTTCTCTTCTTGAAGCCACACTGAACTCTAGCTCCTCTGAATGAGTTGGGCTTTTTCATATACAGTGACTCTACTTATATTCCTTCAACTCCCTGGACTATTTCAACTACTCCTTAGTCCTGTCCATTTAGCAAATATCTGAATGGAACTCCTGTATACAAGAAGGCTCTATTACAATGGGTTCCAGAAAGACCAGCAAAATCACCTTGGAGTCTCTTTAAAAAACACATATACCTTATCTCATATCTTGGTTTCTAAACTAAAAGGGATAAAGGTTCCTTGGAGAAATGGCTGATTCCAGCACTGGGGCAAAGAAAATATAAGATGAGCCTGGATCATCTTGCTACCCACCAAAGTAAAGAACTGCTCACAAAACGATGGGAACATATCAAAAGCACACTTGACCCACCCTGAAGGGGTTCCCTATACCCAAATATGGAAAAATTGGGCATGAAAATAAATAATGAGTAACAGAATATAATGCATTTAATAAAATAATCCAAGAGTTCATACTGATACAAACAAAAGAAAGCTCTTACAATACAAAGCCAAATAAATATAAGGAATGACAAAGTTAGAAAATCATCAATGGATGATAAAACTAGTGGGTGAAAGTTGGATGAGGAAAAAGATATCTACATAGTTTCAAAATATCTCCCCACAAATCATTTATTCATTAAAAAGCAAAACATGGTAACTTTACAGTGGAAGAACATGGCAGCCTCCACCTTAACCAAGTAATCAAATTTAACCTCAGAAATATTGGGACAAATTGACATTACATGGCTCCTAATATGATACAATGCACAAAGGTTACAACATTGTTTGCATGGTATTCCTGACAAAAATGCATGATCTGAATGTGGGGGAAAAAAGGAAACTTCAAACACACTCAAACTGAAGGGCATTCTATTCGGTTGGCCGAAAGGTTCGATCGGTATTTCCGTAAGATGGCTCTAGTAGCACTTAGTTGTCTTTAACTGCATTCGAAACAGTTTTCTTAGATTGTATGTGACAGGTGTCATATCAGCCCGCATTAAAAAAAAGACTTACCAAAACTGGTGAATTTTTGTGTATCCATTTGAATATTGAAGATGGAAGAAAAAATGCAACATTTTCCGCATATTATGCTTTATTATTTCAAGAAGGTAAAAACATAACTGAAAACGCAAAAAAAAATTGTGTAGTGTATGAAGAAGGTGTTGTGACTGATCAAATGTGTCAAAAGTGGTTTGTGAAGTTTCATGATGGAGATTTCTTGCTGGACAATGCTCCACAGTTGGGTAGACCAGTTGAAGTTGATAGCCAGCAAATAGAGATATTCATTGAGAACAATCAACATTATACCACGCAGGAGACAGCCGACATACTCAAAATATCCAAATCAAGCGTTGAAAATCATTTGCACCAGCTTAGTTATGTGAATTGCTTTGATGTTTGGGTTCCACATAAGTTAGGCAAAAAAAACCTTCTTAACCATATTTCCTCATGCGATTCCCTACTGAAACGTAATGAAAATGTTCTGTTTTTAAAACAAAGTGTGGGGCTTCCCTGGTGGCGCAGTGGTTAAGAATCCGCCTGCCAATGCAGGGGATACGAGTTCGAGCCCTAGTCCGGGAAGATCCCACATGCCATGGAGCAACGACACCCGTGCATCACACCTAGTGAGCCTGCGCTCTAGAGCCCGTGAGCCACAATTACTGAGCCTGCATGCCACAACTACTGAAGCCTGTGTGGCTAGAGCTTGTGCTCCGCAACGAGAAGCCACCACAATGAAAAGCCCGTGCACCACAACAAAGAGTAGACCCCACTCTCCGCAACTAGAGAAAGCCCTTGCGCAGCAACGAAGACCCAACGCAGCCAAAAAAATAAAGAAAATAAATAAAGAAAATTTTTTTTAAAAAGTGTGATGGGAGATGAAAAGTGGATACTGCACAATAGTACGGAACGGAAGAGATCATGGGCCAAGTGAAATGAACCGCCACCAACCACACCTAAGGCTGGTCTTCATCCAAAGAAGGTGATGTTGTGTATATGGTGGGGTTGGCAGTCCTCTATTATGAGCTCCTTCTGGAAAACCAAATGATTAATTCCAACAAGTACTGCTCCCAGTTAGACCAACTGAAAGCAGCACTCGACAAAAAGTGTCTGGAATTAGTCAACAGAAAACGCATAATCTTCCATCAGGATAACGCAAGACCACATGTTTTTTGATGACCAGGAAACAACTGTTACAGCTTGGCTGGGAAGTTCTGATTCATCCACCATATTCATCAGACATTGCACCTTCGGATTTCCATTTATTTCGGTCTTTACAAAATTCTCTTAATGGAAAAAATTTCCATTTCCTGGAAGACTGTAAAAGGCACCTGGAAGAGTTCTTTGCTCAAAAAGATAAAAAGTTTTGGGAAAATGGAATTATGAAGTTGCCTGAAAAATGGCAGAAGGGGGGACGAGGGGAAGATGGTGGAAGCGTAAGACGCGGAGATCACCTTCCTCCCCACAGATACACCCGAAATACATCTACGTGTGAAACAACTCCTACAGAACACCTACTGAACGCTGGCAGAAGACCTCAGACCTCCCAAAATGCAAGAAAGGCCCCACGTACCTGGGTAGGGCAAAAGAAAAAAGGATAAACAGAGACAAAAGGATAGGGACGGGACCTGCACCAGTGGGAGGGAGCTGTGAAGGGGGAAAGGTTTCCACACACTAGGAAGCCCCTTCGAGGGCGGAGACTGCGGGTTGCGGAGGGGAAAGCTTCAGAGCCGCGGAAGAGAGGACAGCAACAGGGAGACATTCCCTGTTGTCCCTCTGCGGAGACATTCCCGCAGAGAGGATCAGTGCCGACCAGCACTCACCAGCCCCAGAGGCCTGTCTGCTCACCCGCCAGAGCGGGCGGGGCTGGGAGCTGAGGCTCAGGCTTCGGTCTGAGCTCAAGGAGAGGACTGGGGTTGGCGGCGTGATCACAGCCTGCAAGGGGTTAGTGCACCTCGGCTAGCCGGGAGGGAGGGAGGGAGTCTGGGAAAAAGTCTGGACATGCCGAAGAGACAAGAGACTTCTTCTTCCCTCTCTGTTTCCTGGTGCACAAGGAGAGGGGACTAAGAGCGCTGCTTAAAGGAGCTCCAGAGACGGGTGCGAGCCGCGTCTAACAGCGCGGACCACAGAGGTGGGCATGAGACACTAAGCCTGCTGCTGCCGCCAGAAAGAAGCCTGTGTGCGAGCACAGGTCACCATCCACACGCCCCTTCTGGGGAGCCTGTGCAGCCCACCACTGCCAGGATCCTGGGATCCAGGGACAACTTCCCTGGGAGAACGCACGGCGCGCCTCAGGCTGGTGCAACATCACGGCGGCCTCTGCCGCCGCAGGCTGGCCCTGCACTTCGTAGCCCTCCCTCCCCGTGGCGTCAGTGAGCCAGAGTCCCCAAAGCAGCTGCTCCTTTAACCCCCGTCCTTTCTGAGCGAAGAACAGACACCCTCCGGCGACCCACATGTAGAGGCAGGCCAAATCCAAAGCTGAGCCCCTAGGAGCTGTGTGAACAAAAAAGAGAAAGGGAAATCTCTCCCAGCAGCCTCAGAAGCAGTGGATTAAAGGTCGACCATCAACTTGATGTACCCTGCATCTGTGGAATACATGAACAGACAACGAATCATCCCAAATTGAGTAGGTGGATTATGAGAGCAAGATTTATGATTTTTCCCCTTTGCCTCTTTTTGTGAGTGTGTATGTGTATGCTTCTGTGTGAGATTTTGTCTTTATAGCTTTGCTTCCACCATTTGTCCTAGGGTTCTATCCGTCCATTTTTTTTCTTCCTATAAAAAAAAATTTTTTTTCTTCCTATAAAAAAAAATTTTTTTTCTTAATTATTTTTATTTTAATAACTTTATTTTATTTTACCTTATTTTATTTTATTTTATCTTCTTTCTTTCCTTCCCTCCTTCCTTCCTTCCTTTCTTCCTTCGTCCCTCCCTCCCTCCCTTCTTTTCCTTCCTTCCTTCCTTTCTTCCTTCCTTCCTTCCTTTCTTTCTTTCTTCCTTTATTTCTTTCTTTCTTTCTACTTTTTCTCCCTTTTATTCTAAGCCATATGGATGAAAGGCTCTTGGTGCTGCAGCCAGGAGTCAGTGCTGTGCCTCTAAGGTGGGAGAGTCAACTTCAGGACACTGGTCCACAAGAGACCACCCAGCTCCACATAATATCAAACTGCAAAAATCTCCCAGAGATCTCCATCTCAACACCAGCACCCAGCTTCACTCAATGACCAGCAAGCTACAGTGCTGCATACCCTATGCCAAACAATGAGCAAGACAGGAACACAACCCTACCCATTAGCAGAGAGGCTGCCTAAAATAATAATAAGTCCACAGACACCCCAAAACACACCACCAGACGTGGACCTGCCCACCAAAAAGACAAGATCCAGCCTCATCCACCAGAACACAGGCACTAGTCCCCTCCACCAGGAAGCATACACAACCCACTGAACCAACTATAGCCACTGGGGACAGACACCAAAAACAACGGGAACTACGAACATGTAGCCTGCAAAAAGGAGACCCCAAACACATTAAGATAAACAAAATGAGAAGACAGAAAAACACACCGTAGATGAAGGAGCAAGATAAAACCCCACAAGACCTAACAAATGAAAAGGAAATAGGCAGTCTACCTGAAAAAGAATTCAGAATAATGACAGTAAAGATGATCCAAAATCTTGGAAATAGAATAGACAAAATGCAAGAAACATTTAACAAGCACGTAGAAGAACTAAAGATGAAAAAAGCAATGATGAACAACACAATAAATGAAATGAAAAAGACTCTAGATGGGATCAATAGCAGAATAACTGAGGCAGAAGAACGGATAAGTGACCTGGAAGATAAAATAGTGGAAATAACTACTGCAGAGCAGAATAAAGAAAAAAGAATGAAAAGAACTGAGGACAGTCGCAGAGACCTCTGGGACAACATAAAACTCACCAACATTCGAATTATAGGGGTTCCAGAAAAAGAGGAGAAAAACAAAGGGACTGAGAAAATATTTGAAGAGATTATAGTTGAAAACTTCCCTAATATGGGAAAGGAAATAGTTAATCAAGTCGAGGAAGCACAGAGAGTCCCATACAAGATAAATCCAAGGAGAAATACGCCAGGACACATATTAATCAAACTGTCAAAAATTAAATACAAAGAAAACATATTAAAACAAGCAAGGGAAAAACCACAAATAACACACAAGGGAATCCCCATAAGGTTAACAGCTGATCTTTCAGCAGAAACTCTGCAAGCCAGAGGGGACTGGCAGGACATATTTAAAGTGATGAAGGAGAAAAGCCTGCAATCAATATTACTCTACCCACCAAGGATCTCATTCAGATTTGATGGAGAAATTAAAACCTTCACAGACAAGCCAAAGCTGAGAGAGTTCAGCACCACCAAACAAGCTTTACAACAAAGGCTAAAGGAAATTCTCTAGGCAAGAAACACAAGAGAAGGAAAAGACCTACAATAACAAACCCAAAACAATTAAGAAAATGGGAATAGGAACATATATATCGATAATTACCTTAAATGTAAATGGACTAAATGATCCCACCAAAAGAAAAAAACTGGCTGAACGGATACAAAAACACGATCCATATATATGCTGTCTACAAGAGATACACTTCAGACCAAGAGACACATACAGACTGAAAGTAAGGGGACGGAAAAAGATATTCCATGCAAATGGAAACCAAAAGAAAGCTGGAGTAGCAATTCTCATATCAGACAAAATAGACTTTAAAATAAAGACTATTAGAAGAGACAAAAAAGGACACTACATAATGATCAAGGGATCGATCCAAGAAGAAGATATAACAATTGTAAATATTTAGGCACCCAACATAGGAGCACCTCAATACATAAGGCAAATACTAACAGCCATAAAAGGAGAAATCGACAGTAACACATTCATCATAGGGGACTTTAACACCCCACTTTCACCAATGGACACATCATCCAAAATGAAAATAAATAAGGAAACACAAGCTGTAAATGATACATTAAACAAGATGGACTTAATTGGTATTTATAGGACACTCCATCCAAAAACAACAGAATACACATTTTTCTCAAGTGCTCATGGAACATTCTCCAGGATAGATCATATCTTGGGTCACAAATCAAGCCATGGTAAATTTAAGAAAATTGAAATTGTATCAAGTATCTTTTCTGACCACAACGCCATGAGACTAGATATCAATTACAGGAAAAGATCTGTAAAAAATACAAATACATGGAGGCTAAACAATACACTACTTAATAACGAAGTGATCACTGAAGAAATCAAAGAGGAAATAAAAAAATACCTAGAAACAAATGACAATGGAGACACAACGACCCACAACCTATGGGATGCAGCAAAAGCAGTTCTAAGGGGAAGTTCATAGCAATACAAGCCCACCTTAAGAAGCAGGAAACATCTCGAATAAACAACCTAACCTTGCACCTCAAGCAATTAGAGGAAGAAGAACAAAAATACCCCAAAGCTAGCAGAAGGAAAGAAATCATAAAAAACAGTTCAGAAATAAATGAAAAAGAAATGAAGGAAACTATAGCAAGATCAATAAAACTAAAAGCTGGTTCTTTGAGAAGATAAACAAAATAGATAAACCATTAGCCAGACTCATCAAGAAAAAAAGGGAGAAGACTCAAATCAATAGAATTAGAAATGAAAAAGGAGAAGTAACAACTGACACTGCAGAAATACAAACGATCATGAGAGATTACTACAAGCAACTATATGCCAATAAAATGGACAACCTGGAAGAAATGGACAAATTCTTATAAATGCATAATCTGCCAAGACTGAATAAGGAAGAAATAGAAAATATGAACAGGCCAATCACAAGCACTGAAATTGAAACTGTGATTAAAAATCTTCCAACAAACAAAAGCCCAGGACCAGATGGCTTCACAGGCAAATTCTATCAAACATTTAGAGAAGAGCTAACACCTATCCATCTCAAACACATCCAAAATATAGCAGAGGGAGGA